AAACCAAAGGCCACTGTCCATTCACAGATTGCACTCATAAAATGGTAAGTGTAATCCTGATGGAATGAGACATAAAACAAATTTTCAAATAAAACAGCTAAACAGAATACATACGGAATGCTATAGACATTTCCTTCTGTAAATTCAATATAAGATTTATGACTCATCATTGTAATGTCCTGTTGTATAAAAGTCAATTCAGATTTTGTTTTTACAGAATGGTAAGTGCATCTCAAGTAAAAAAAAAACAAAAAACCAAACCAAACCTCAAGGTATTACTAAGATTGTAAAGACTTATCTCACGGCTGCCTTGCCACTGTTTGGTTGAAATACATCTGCCAAGTTTGCTTTTATCAAGCTTATCAAGTAGGATACACTCTCTGCATTATTTTACCTGTTTTTTAATACTTCATTGTGGCAAAATTTGTCCAAAAATAAAAATTACTTTTCATAGTTATCATTCTGAGAACACTGAAATCAACTAAAATACCTAATATTGACTTAAGTGTGCTTCAGGTCAGACCCCAAATATTTATGGCAATAATAAAGACTATTTAATAAAGAATGGTAAAAAAGCTGAGAAAACCAATGTTGTAAAAAAACCTCAGAAACTTCAGAATCAAATTGGTCCGTTTAAGTTTCATGTGTAAAGTTCAGTTTCAAGAAACTGAGGAAGTAGAACAACTAATTTCCAGAATATCTTTTTTCTTTTTTTTTTTTACAGTGGGAAAGTTTCAAATGCTTGGTTAAAATGAAAATCTAACTCTCTAAAGACTGAACCCTCCGTTGCAAGTTCCCTTACCCAAGCCACATACACTTTTCTAATGAAAAGTAACCAGCATTGCACAAATCTGTTCATGATAATGCACTATTTAAAGTCTCTAAAATGTTTCTAGGGCTAGACACTTTTAGATAAATATAACAGCATTCCCAAAATAATATGATAGAGGGTGAGTTGGCTACCTAATAAGATTTTACCTTTTCACCTGGAGTCCAATCAATTTTTGTCATGGAAACCTGAGAAGCGAACACAATCACTGGGAAAAACAGTGTAAAGGAAAACCATAAAATTTTAGTGAGTAATAGTGAAAATGTTTGCTTACAAAAAAAAACACCCCATCTTCCCCTTCCATAAAATGGCAGAACCTGAACAACCAGAATATCAAATCAAGATATTAAGAAAACAAGTAAATGAAACACATTATTACAAGGTAACTGGTAGCAGCAATCAAAACACATTTCTGTTGGTTCTTTCAAAATATAGATGATAAGGAGAGACACTCCAAAACTTAAAAAATCATATTTGTAATCAAGAACTGTGGGAGCATAGTCCTTCATTGTTGGAAGGGGAACTATGTTGGTTTCCACTGGTCCACAATAGGTGCTTGATATATTTGTACAACTTCCTCTCAGGAACTGGGAGCATCTTTAAAAACACTTTCCCACCTGCTGAAACCAAAACCAGGCTATATGTGGCTGACTGATGTGATGAATCTGCTGTGACCAGTTTTCAACCAGCAGATCACCCAAAGCCAATGAAATTAATAGGATGGCCCTAAATTTCAGCATGCCATGGGAAAAGCCAGTAAGTGTGTTGAGTGTGTCTTTAGGGGAGGCATCTAATGAAGACTAGCACCAACCAACATGATCAAAATCACCTGCTTAGGCTTGAAGGAAACCTTGCCACTTGTATTTTATACATCTGTGTGTTTGGTTCATTGTAGAAGCAGTGCCTCCCTTTTGCAGGCCTTTCTCCCTTCTCTCCTTCAAATGAAGCTTTATTAGTGTATGATCCTGTGAAGAACACTGGGGCATTGGTTTGAAATATACCACTGAAATAAGAGATAAAGCTTTTTAGAAGACCCTAAACCTCATCTTTATGCCATTAATGGTGTCTCAACATGCTATATTATATGCATTAAAGAGCCCTAAGCAAAGAGTGTAACTTCATTTTCATCCTTTATCAACAATGTTTTAACTTAAAAGGAAAGTCATGAACGCATAAAGGGAAAACTGTGGGCTACACCATAAAGGATACTGGGAATGAAAGCAATGCATGATATTGCAGATATAGCCATCCTTATGTGACACACAAAGTAAGAGTTCCATCGTGGACAGGACTTGTAAGAGATTATAGACTGAAGTGTAATGTATACAACACCCGAGCCAAATGCCACCAAAGCTCCTATGTCATGGACACTGGGAACAGCCAGCTCCTGGAAAAAGAATCAGCATAATGGTTAGCTGCTACTGTCTGAGTAGTGGTAGGAATCAATGAGGCGTGAATAGACAGCAGCCACATTGTGTTGGGCACACACAAGGAATGGGAAACAGTCCCTTTTCCAAACAGGGAAGACGAAAGAAAATAGAAAAAGAGTAGCTCAGAGAAGTAAATAACCGTGTCCAAAGCCACTGGGTCAGTCCTTTCCCATGTTCATGTAAAAGTTCAGATCAGTTTTAGTTCTGTTCAACAGTTGCTCTAATACCAATTAATATTTCACAAACAGGAACTGGCTTGTGTTTTTCTTGAAAGGTTCTTATACTTACTTCTTCCCCATACCCTGACAGATTTTAACCCCATATTGAAATTCTAATCTGCATTTGTGTGGCCAAACTCTACTGGTAAAATTTCAAGGAAGCTGTTCTAAATAGTGACTCCTATAGCTCCATCCCCCACCCTCCAGTGGCCAATCACAAGGCTCCAAGAAATAAGTCACGAGAAAATTAGTTATATATAAAAAACCCACTATATGTGGCCTATATTTTTGTAATATCCTGCCTATGGAAAATTCTCTCCTTTATAAGAAAAACAAGTAGAATATCCAGTAGCAAAAGAGATTAAGATTCCAGAGAAATTACTGTATTCTAAATGTTTCAAAAACTTTTACAAAACCAAAGATATGGCACATTGGAATCCAATATCAGTCAGGTAAGTCATGTTTAAAGCTCCTTTCTGTCACCAGAGTGTAACCAAACAGGCACTATGAACCTATGAACTGACCTACTACAGATCTGTTTTCTTGATTCATGAACACACATCTATACCCTTTCACTACATATCTTAACATCTTTCCTGCCTGGAGGCCACTGTTTTCTTTGTTTTGTAATGGTGGTTATGCCCATATGGCCTCTTAAATTCTTTTTCCCCAGGCTTTTCTTTATACTCATTCCCTTCTATCTCTCTGTGATGTATTAAGTTCTACCAGAATTTAAAGCATGTTCCTCACATAGGTATTTAAGTGGGAGCTCATCTATACTTGCATTTTCTTCTCCTCTGTCCCAATTTTTGCCTCCCATAAATACAGGAATGGCAGGATTTGGTATGGAAAGCATTAAGCAAGCATTGCATTTAGCCCTGTACACAATATAGAGAGCTTTGCTAACATGGCTGTCGTGATTGCTCCTATCAAACTGTCACAGTTTCCTTTAAAAAGACCATCACACCCAATCCCTACAGAAGCTGAGACCTGTTGCTACATGTGGTACAGTAAGCCTCCGAAGTTTTCCAGGCAAAGGCAGGAAGATCACTCTGTAATCATGTGTAATGTCTAACAAGCAAAACCAGAGCTTCTACGACCTGGGATTTCACTTTGCCTTGTTCATTAAGGACCACAGGGTTTTGCCTTCCACATCCAATTATTTCTTAAAGCTAACCCTCCACTGTCTTTCATTTCTGTATTTCAAGCATTGTGTTATTTAAAACAGAGAACAAACATTCACAACTATTATTTATTTTCTCAGAAAATCATTTGCTTTTAAGGGACACATTCTTAGTGTTTTGTCCCACCTTGTTCTTCACTTTTATTAAGTGTTCAGACACCAATACCATTAAACCTCCATGCTACCTACCCTGTCTCACCTTGAAGCAAAAAGGGTGAAAAAAATTTCCTTACAATTAATTATGCCACTTAAAAGACTCACCACAAGTGGCACTAGATTGAGTAAATAAAAGCAAACCTTAAATATTTCAAGTATAATTTCACACTGAAGCCTTTTTAGCAGACTAGGTATTTTGCTCTGGAGAAAGAGAAAATGAACTGATGCCCAGTAGTGTCAATCAGCTCTACTACAGTACTCAGGTATGGTGTGAACTCACCTGCTGGGGAAAAATGAGTGTTAAGAAACTAACAGGTAGTGCACATGAACATAAATTTCCTGCATGACACAATGATTAGAGGGGCTAGATTGAATACTAAGGAAATAACTTCTAATTCCAGCTTTGCTTTGATCTCCTGACCTGAAACAATCACCTTGAGCAAATCTCACATCCTCTTCATGTCTCAGTTATTCTACTAAATGGGTAAATGGGGATAGGAATGTACTGTTCACTGGTTGTACACTATACAGTTAAAAGACTAAAGACTTGCAAGCCACCATTTGCAGCTTCCTGGGCAAGTAAGCGTGCTCAAAAATCAGCTAGGGAGATGCTTAGCGAGATTAGATCCTTACTGTGTTCTGAACCCTTTCTACAAACTGCACTTAGCAAGGAAAGCAAGGTCAAAGCAGAAAAAAATAGAAATTAGGTAAGGAAGGAGTTTAAAACTGGCAATGAGAGAAAACAGAGATAAGATAACTATCAAGGGACCCCTTTGGGAACATTAGCATCAAAGTTTCTGCTTCCCTGACTGTCACAATTATTTTGCATTCTTTAATTTGTCTTTTTCTTATTGCAGCTGAGTCTGTTTTCTATTTCAGTCAAGCAACACTGTTCCCCATCATCTAACTTTTTTTTGTGCCACATATAAATCTTATCAATAAGAGTACAGATTTTTAAAAGTAAAACAGTGTGCTTAGAATTGACTGCAGTGCCTGTGGTGTTTGCAATCCACACATACTGCCTGGATATAAAACTAAAAGGGGTAAGGTATCAGTCTAAGGCAGCGTTTTTGTCTGAAAATACCATGTCTATTACATGTAAAACTGTACTGGCTGCTGAAGCCCTGACAATCTTTATTTTAAATTCCTCTGTATCTTGTCAGGTCACTGTATGAGCACACCAGTATTTACCAAACTGTTCCAAGGTAGGCCGTCCTTTAAAAGAAATAATATAGCTGTTTCCACAGATTTAAAGGCAGTGTCTCAAACTACCTGCCAATTAGATTTTACTTGATTCTAAGCTGAAACTTTCAGTGCAATTGTCCTAATACTTCTTTGTGTCAGAATCTACCCTATTACACACTTCTTCACTAGAAAAGGTGAAATTAATAATCTGTTTCAGTATTTTTTGTCTCTATTGAATTTTCTTTCAGACACTGAGGAGTGGATTTTGATTTTTAATGAGATGTCAAATTCTTTCTGGCAAAGTAAGCAGTAATTCTACATGTCTCTATAAATAAAGACTTAATATGTTGTTATGCCATCTCCCACAGACTCAAAACAACAGGCTGATATTGTGCTCAATGTTCTCACCTGTCAGGTAAGTCTAGTTTATTCTATAGAAAGTTCTGCTAGTGAGTGTGCCATCATTCAGGTAAAAATGCAGGTGCATTTGTTAGTCTGACTTATTTTGCCCTCCCTAACTGGAAGCAAACTGAACTTTGAATAGCAAAGCTTTTCACAGTCCAATTCTCATAGTAAAAAATTTACAGCAAAAGCATCCATATTAAGTTGTTTTATAGTACAGACCTTTCACAAGACAAACACACAGAAAACCCCTTACTGACATAACTGCACAAGCAAAAAATCTAGTATATGGGGAGAAAACAAATCTGTCTCTTTAAAGCTACTGAATAAAGCCAAGAGCAAGAAAAGCATTCCTACTTCATTTTCCAATTATCCATCTTGGGATAGTGTTAATCACTCTTACCTATTTGAAATTTTAACTTGTAAAACAACTTTAGTTTCATTTATGACATGAAATTTATGGTCATACCTGAAAAGTTGCAACTATGCCCATTCCAATACAGCCCATCAATCCAATACATAATGAAAACATGTTGCACGAAGACCTAACAAAGCGCGATGACTCATTTTGCTTCTCTATTAATAAATATCTGATGTACATTGTAATTACACCTGAAAAAAACCCAACCAAAAATACATATTTTGTTCAATGATCATGTATTGCTTACATTTAAACATCTTTTCCTGTAACACATGAGCATGCAGAATGAAATTATAAGCATAATACAGTAACTAATATTGCCTTTAAATCTACTGGGATGAAGAAAAAAAGTAGTGAATTTCAGATATATTACTTTTAGATAAAACTTTAACATTATCTTAGTTTTAACATCACACATTATTGCTATCTAGAAATAACTGTACATCACTTCAAGAAAAACACCAATTTGAATTCCATTCTCCTGAGTGATTTGGGCAGAGGCATTGCCATTCTGCATTAGGAACAGATGTCACAGGGAGATGAACTATAAGCTGGAAGTGGGAGGTTTTATTCTGCTCTGATACACAGTCTTTTATGAGAACTACATCTCCTTATAATGGATGGTCTGTAGAATCAATTCGTTTTTGCAGTCCTACATATGTGACCCCAATATGCAGTTCACTCCTGACAAACACCTGTACTGGATAAGAAAATCGTGGTTCATCAGGAAATAATAAGCTGTAGACTGAATTCCACAGTTCCATACCACATAGAACATAGTTTTAGTCTATCTACAGTTGGAAAAATACATCAGGTAGCTTTGCCCAGGCACTGAGAGGTTACATGAAAGATGTCAAGATAGTGTGATTGAATGAGGCTCTTACAGAAGGTAAAATATGTGATTTTTACTTTGCCTTAAGGCCGTGGTAGACTACACAGCTATCGATCCTCCATCCCCTAGAAGTGAATAGAAAATGCCAAACTTCCCGATTCCCATCAGTCATTTTCTAGAGAAGTAGGCATGTTGTGGAGAAAACCAGGTGTTGCTTCAACACAGTTCTTCCCTTTGCTGCAGCACATTAGAAACTAAAGTGTCCCCATATCAGAGAGAGAGTTTTTGCACAGTAATTATACCATCTTTCTTCCTCTATTATTTCCAGTCGTGTTGACTACTTTGCACTGATGAGGTGCTCTTAAGAGACATAAGTGCCTCTAAGCCTGCACTAACTGATCCTAAGGACCTGGCCCTCTGGCTATTACATCTATCTGACACTACCATTTGACTGTGGAGTAGTTTTTCTGCAGAATACTGAATGGACTGCAATGTAAGCAGACAGCTTTTGCTAATTCTCATTTCTTCATTCTGGTCAAACCAAGTACTTTATACATACCTAAAAGAGCTGAAATATTAATCATAAAACCAAAGACACCGCTTTCTGGAGGTTTTGTTCCAGTGTCACTAAAGCAGGAAGAGAAAGAAATTAACAGTTAATTGAGATCTGTGAAACATAAACGAGATGTACACATGAAATCTCAAGAAAAATATAACTTGTGTGAACTGCTGTTTTGGGGACAGGGCATTTAAACATTTCTGCTGAACATTTGTAGTAGTGTATCTTTCTTTTCATAAAGTAAGTGTATTTTGAGAGCATACTATTTGAACTGTATTTCTTCCTCTTCTGTATTCAACGTGCAGAGATGTGACAGAGCAATACTTTGTTCATGAATGACATGATTACATAAATGACATTTTAGAAATGGCATTTCTTTTATCCACTGAATTAACACTGTGATAGAGTAAAACATATCTAATGGCATCTCACATCTTAAGATGTGAGAGAATTTGCTTAATTTCCTCATTGTCTTAAAAGGATCTTACCCCATGAGAGTAATTGTGTTCCAATGCCCAGGAATGTTCCTAGGAGGGGTTTAATTTGCTAATGTAGATGCAGCTTAAGAGTAGTCTACACTCAAGGTGTTATAAGTCTCTTCTGCTGAAGCAATTCACCCTTATAGTGGATAATTAGGAATTCACTGGGATAGAAAGAGGGAGCATGAGTGTGAGAATATCTACAGAATTTATATACATATGTATGTGCATAGATATATATATATGAAAAACACCACATATACAAAATATTTGTTGTGTAGAAAATGGAACACCTTGATCACAGAATCCTTTTCTCTCTTTTCCCTACATATGTGCAAACACCCACCCCAAAGAATGTCCTTTCTTCACAAGATGAACATATGCCTGGGAGTATGTGGGCTCAAGTTCCCTCAAGCAGGACTCTTCTATAGAGGTGAGTGCTCTGTTGAAGGAACAATACTGTGATGCTGTCACCTCTTTACACTATTTTTCTTGTCCAATGTCTATTTTTTCTTGTCCAACATACAACCAGTTGATATGTATTTGATCAGGCTCTGTCGGTCAAGTCAATGGAAAACATCTAGTTCTTAAATCTTTACATAATTTGGGTGTGAGCTGAGTTTTCAGTTACTGGGCAGCACCAGGAGGCACAATTATGTGTGTGTAAACAGAGCCACCCAATGAACTCTACCGTCAGAAATGTAAACATGTAAGGGATTCAGTTAATGTCAAAGTTTATTGGAAACTGAGCAAAGATTCTGAGACTTAACTGTTCTCCGAGGGTGGGAGTGTCAACCTGCTGGAGGGTGGGAAGGTTCTGCAAAGGGATCTGGACAGGCTGGATTATGGGCTGAGGCCAGTTGTATGAGGTTCAATTAGACCAAGCACTGGGTCCTGCACTGTGGCCCCAACAACCCCATGCAGTGCTACAGGCTGGGGGAAGAGCAGCTGAAAAAACCACTGAGCAGAAAAGGATCTGAGGATGTTGGTGAGCAGCAGCTGAAAATGAGCCAGCAGTGTGCCCAGGTGGCCAAGAAAGCCAATGGCATCCTGGCCCGTATCAGAAATATCTCTATTTCTGATACGGACTAGCAGGACAACGGAAAGGGATTCTCCCCCTGTACTCAGCACTGGTTAGGCCACACCTCAAAAGTGCTGTGTCCAGTTCTGGGCCCCTCACTACCAGAAAGACACTGAAGTGCTGGAGTGTGTCCAGAGAAGGGCAGCAAAGTGAAGGGTCTGGAGCACAAGTGCTATGTGGAGCAGCTGAGGGAGCTGGTGTTGTTTAGCCTGGAGAAAAGGAGGCTCGGGGGAGACCTCATCACTCTCTACAACTACCTGAAAGGAGGCTGTAGCCAGGTGGGGATCAGGCTCTTCTCCCAAGGAACCAGCGACAGGACAAGAAGATATAGTCTTAAGCTGCACCAGGGGAGGTTTAGGTTGCACATTAGGAGGAAAGGGTGATAGACACTGGAATGGACTGCCCAGGGAGGTGGTGGAGTCCCACCATCCTGGGAGGTGTTTAAGGAAAGCCTGGGTGTGGCACCTCATGCCATGGTCTAATTGATATGGTGGTGTTTGGTCCTAGGTTGGACTTGATGATCTCAGAGATCTTTTCCAACCTAACTGATTCCGTGATTCTGTGTATGATGGGACAAGTAGGTACTAGCTAGATGTGGGGGTTTTATGTGATTCAAGAAGATGAATATTCTTCTTTCCAACAGTGAGGCTGGATTAGGTTTCAGTGCTAAGCTTCTGAACCTACCGCTGAGTGCAGCCAAAATGTCAGCTGCTCAGCATGAATGCTTGTGCTCTCAACATCCAAAAGAGAAAGCAATCTCAACTTAAGCAATCATTCTTAAAGATCTTGACAATTTCGTTAAGTTCAAAACAGAAGAGTATGACTATCTCAAAAGACTTGATTTTCTTTAGAAATTAATATTTGCTCTCAAACCCCTTCTATGTACAGAAGGATTTGTGTAATCAGTTGCTAAGATGATTTACCATCAACAGGAGGAAGTTTAGGATAAAGGAAGGATCCTTTTCTCTGAAAAACTGATGCAAAAAATAGAGAAAATTAAAACATTTGTTTTTACTAGATTGGTTCTTGTTGTAATGCTTTCTGAAGACTTGTTTCAGCTTATACTTTGTACTAGTGTTGTTCCTCTTTGATAGTGGAATTGATGAAAACAGTAAACTAACTCTTTTTTGTTTGTTTGTTTGNACATCTGAAAATCATTTTAATCCATGTTTCACTTAGCCCATTTTTTAACCTTCAACTTCACATCTTTTCTTTGTGTTTCTGGAGTGTTTTCATTAATATGACAAAGGACTCCATTTAAAAAGTCAGCCACTTGTGACAATCTTCAAGGACTTTTTCAAATCAGAAACTGCTCTGTGGTAAGTACAGGACTGTAATCACTTCAAAGCTTTTGAAGGACTTTAGGTGAGAAGAGAATGGAATTGGCACATGCATAGAAAGCCATGTGAAGTTCTTGGAACACACCATAAGAGCAATCCAAATAACCTAAAATTGCACTGGTCTACATTTTTTAATTAAAGCTTTTTTCAAGCTAAAGCTTTATAGGTGAATTTTGCTATTGTTGATTTTTAAACTCAATAGACCTACGCTTTCAAGAAATTTCATACCAAGAATACTATATTACATCTACAATCTATTTACAAAATACTGCACTGGACTTTTAAGGACACAATCTTTTTAATGTCATATTTTCCACTGAAAAATCCCTGAAGCTAAATGAAGACTTAGGTTCATTTTCGTTTTGCTTCTGGTCTGTTGCTATGGAAAAAAAATATTAGAAAAAAAAGTATGGGTAACAGTCCCTTTCTTATTATGAAAAAGACAAAAAGCAAATGGCATATTTGAAACAAAAATGTGCTCACTTATTTGGAGTGGTGCATAGGTGAGCTCTGCCACCACTGAAAAGATGAGGAATCCTCTACTTGTGTCACCATCTCATGCAATAGAATTCTAAAACCAAACAATATTCTGAAGAGTGGAAAGACAAGAAGGTGGAGGAGACAAGTAATAAATATTTTAGGGCCAAAAGACTCATCATCATCTAATTACTACATAGCCATCATAAACTATTTCTCTCTTAAAGTTTTTTAAGTCCCAAATTTTTAAAATAGGAAAATTCTATTCTCCCTACAGGGATTCTTGTTGATCCAGAGGTACACCTGATAGCAAATACCTTTAGGAAAATTCCCTTTATGCTTTCACTGAGAATTCAAACCATGAAACAGCCACCCCAGCACATCCAAATTAGTTTGGATTTTGAGTATATTAGCAAAAGAACTAGTTTGGCCATCTGTAACAAATGTGGATAGAGCCTTCCCAAATCTTCATTCGCGAAGCCCAGCCATGACATTGACATGACAGTTTGGCCATAACCTAATTTTAGGACTCAGCTGCTAGAAAACACAAAATCATGTTCATTTTATCTACCCAGAAACGTATTGACTTTACTTGATGAGGCATTAGCACAGTTTCAATGACAAATTCAGGTGTGGTCTCTCACTGTGACAGCTGTTACATGGTAAACAAATAAAATTAATAAGTTACCTCAAGGCATACACAGGGTACTTGAGGAACGTATATAAGAATTACAGAAATGTTGAACTAAAGTTTGTCCATATTCTTCTCCTTTGTGTAACTGGAATTTTCCCATACGAGCTCTATTTAATTTTTAAAGCTCATTTTAAGATATTGCACAACTTATATGTTGCAACATTCTTCCTCTTTTTTATGATTCTAATCTTTACTAAATCACATTCTTAATCACATGATTCAGATTCTTAGGCTAAAGCAATGACCTGCAAAATAAAATATGAACCATGGTATGACTGTTGGCCTAAGTACTTAAAAGGAAATATATTACTGCCAAGTGCACCTTCTACAAAGATCTTATGCTTACACCATGTGCCTTTAGAATTATTACAGATTCTTCAACAATAGCCGATGTATATCTTTAATCCAAATGTGGTGTTAAATGGATGTAAAATAAAAAAGATTTTTAAAAAACTTTACTAGTAAATGCAGAAGGCCTGAAATGTGACTGGCTATCACTGATGCAGCCTCTCAAGTCTTTGCTTTGTTTGGGTTCTTTTAGGGTATACTGACATATATTGTGATTCCGTACTAAAGGATAAGAATGATTTTTTTTCTGTGATCTATTCCATTAGATTGATGTAACTATGGCAGCTGCAATACAGTTATCAGAGTTATAGAGCTGTGACTTAAAGGTTTGGTCTATCTCTTTAAAAAGAATGACACAATTAAGATACTCGGGATGTCAAAAACTTAACTGAAAACAATTATACAGAAAAAAACACATCCTGTTTACTCATATGTTTTATTCTATGACGTGGCTTAACATAAGAAACGTAATTTTGCCAAATTTCTCACTACAGGACCTCAAAATCCTTCTGAACACAAACCATATACTGAGAATGAACAGTTATATCAAATGGGGTTTTTTCCTCTGGTTAACGATAGATAAATTACACTTCTCAGAAGCGCTTTTGTGTAAGTAAAACTGTGTTTGTAATCAAGGACGAGCCTTGATTACAAGGTATTTGTTCAAGTACAAGAACGAGGCTTTCCAAGAGCTGAACCCAAATTTGTGCAGATAATCTTAAAAAGTTTTGCTAACATAAGCATGTGGCCCAAGTTTCTTTGGCTCAATTTGAATGAAGCTCAGCTTTCTTGTGGGCTGTGGTGTCATTTGCACTTGCCTATGATGACAAACCCTAATTTTCAATCAAATTTGCTTGTATGTGCCAATCAGGTTAGCAGTCTTCTGAAATTATGAATGTCCATGAAGTCTTTCAAGGAATTAGGTCTAGATGTATCTTGAAAGATGTATTTTAAAATCTTGTTTAGATCTTCTGTATATCAGAAACACTCTTGGATATCTGGCTAAGCTTTAATCTATTAAGAGATAAAATCTAGCAATTTCATGGTTTATATTTAAATGTTAACATAAATCACAAGCAATGATTTATACAGAACTGCACTTAAGTGACTAAGGTTTTAGAAAAGAGATGCCAGCCACCTCTTGGGAAGTCTTTTACACTCATTGGTCCTGTGCTGAAATTTTAAATACACATGTTTGTGGGGATGCACATACTGCAAAAACCATCATAGGGTTTCAAGTCATCATCTGGTGCACTTTGGCCCAGTTCTGGAGTTATACAAACAAAGCTACATTTCCACCACTTGATTGTAAAGTTTTGCTATGATCAGGCCTTCAGGACACTTTGGCTCCAGTAGAAAACTGTTTCATGTCCTTTCCACTGCGTCTGTCAGCGTTTGGGTCCTGTGGCTCTTGGAGAGGCCCGGGCGCTGGAGGTGTGATGGGTGCCGGGAGGGCACAGCGTGCGCCCCCATCACGGGGAGGCCCTGCCACCACTGCCTCTCCTCCTCTGGGGATCCCACACCCGACTGGGAACCCCTCGGAACCGCCGCCTGTGTGTCACACACACGCACACACACACGCACAAACACACACGCACACACACACACAGAGCTCCCCCTGCTCCTCGGGCGCTCCCACCGCGCTCCCGCCTCACCTGATGTAGGGGACGAGGGGCTCGACGTGCCCCTCCAGCACGGCGATCGCATAGGAGATGATGAAGGCGGCCGAGGACCAGCTGACGAGCAAAGCGGGGACGAAAGCCACGCCGGGCATGCAGCACAGCATCGCCGGCGACTGCCCTGCCCGGGGCACGAGCGGCGGGGCGGCAGCGCCCGGACGGGCTCCGTGGCGGCGCCCCAAAGTCACGGACCGTGACCGAGGACCTGGGGGACGCACACACGAGCACTCATACGTGTCTTTTCCCGCCAGGCAGGGGCGCTGCCGCCTCCAGCGGCCCCGGGGATCCCCCGCCGCCCGACGACTTCCCTTCACTTTCGGTTCTCCTCAGCGGTGCCCCCGGGGCAGCGCCCGCCCCGCCCGCGGGCGGCCCCGAGGGCGGCGGGGCCGGGGACTGCAGTGGGGCCGGGGACTGCAGTGGGGCCCTTCGCCTTTCACCCCTGCCCACACCTGGAAGCAGCGCTTCGGAGAGTTTCTGACCTCAGAAATCCTCCCCACAGCCCCGGCTCCG